GCTAAAAAGTGGGTTAAATATGCTGGTCTCTAACAGACAGAAGTACAGAACAGGTGACTAAGCAATGCTGTTATTTATTTTATTTTATTTGAATGTTTTGTTGTATATCTAAGGAATAATGTATCTCCCACACTTTACTTAAAAACTGCCTGGTGGACATTTTAGTTTAATTTATTTTTTGCTTTTTCATGTAAGTCTATCATTCCCCAGTCTTTTCAAAGTTGTTTGATGTAATTTACTTAACTTTGTATATTACACACAAAACATAATTGTGAGTAACTGTGAGTAAATGTTTAAAAAAAACAGAAAATGACCAAGACATGACAAAACACCCCATAAAAAAAAAACTAAAAAAACCCCAGACGTGACGCCAATAAGCACAATAGCTCCGTCAAAACCTGATAATCTCACCTGGTTCTGTGTTCCAGGTGTGGTGTCCTCGGACAGCCAGTACCCGCCCACCTCCGGGCGTCAGGGCGAGTACCTGAGCTCCGGCCCCATGTGCCGCTACGCCCAGGACCTGCTGCCCCTGCTCAGGATCATGGCCGGAGCCAACGCCAGCATGTGAGACTGCTGCCCACGTCCCAGTCGGCCATTTTGATTAGGTCGTGTGACTAGCAGCTTTCTGAGGTGGAAACGAGACCTTACTGTCTGTACGAAATCGGAACAAAAACGATGACTTAAATCTAACCAAGACCCTAAATCTGACCCTGACCCTAACCCTGACTCTGACCCTAACCCTGACCCTAACCCTAAACCTGACCTTAACCCTGACCCTAACCATGACCCTAACCCGGACCCTAAACCTAACCCTGAATCTAACCATGACCCTAAACCTAACCCTGAATCTAAGCCTAACCCTGACCCTAACCCTAAACCCAACCTTAACTCTAACCCTAACCCTAAACCTAACCCTGACCCAAATCTTAACCCTGACCCTAAACTTGACCCTAACCCTGACCCTAAACATGACCCAAACTCTAATCCTCACCCAAACCCTGACCTTGACCCTAACCCTGACCCTAACCCTCCACTCTTCATAATTGTGAGAAATACATCTTTTTTAGTTAAACTTGTTTGGACTTATTGTACAAACCTATTTAACATCCACTATTTTAACACAATATTATGGATAGAGTTTAATTCAGTGTTTGCAAGATTAATATCACTATTTTTGTTGTGGGGGGGCTGTGGGGCTTTGATCTAATTCTCTGCGTTTGCGTCCTCAGGCTGTCTCTGGACACCAAAGTGGATCTGAGGAAGCTTCGGTTCTTCTCCATCCCTCACGACGGCGGCTGCGTGTGGACCAACCCGGTCAGCAGGGAGCTGCTGGACGTCCAGAGGAGGGTGGTGCAGAGACTGGAGGCCGACCTGGGGGTGAAGGTCCAGCAGGTGGCGCTGCCCAGGCTCCGATACAGCTTCCAGATCTGGGACACGTACATGAGCCTCCCCGACAAGGACGGGAAAGTAGGTCCACCTCTCTCTGTTTGATCTCCAGATTCTGGTATCTTAAAGGAGTCATATTATACCCTATTTTAACAAGTTAAGCTAGTTCCCTGGTGTCCTAATGTAATGTCTGTGACTGTCAGGGGGGTGGGAGATGCAGAGAACAGGGTTTATTGTAACAAAACAGGCTCAAAAACAGGGCTGTGGCAAAACTATGAGCAAAGTAACAAAGCAAGGTTAACAAAACTGTGGCAAAGTATCAAAACAAGACTGTGGCAAAAGTACAAACGAGATGAACATGGCAGTGGTCAAACAAGGCTATGGCAAAGTAACAAAATAAAGATTAACAAAACTGTGGCAAGGCTGTGGAAAAACATGGCTATGGGAAATAATCAAAACCTTACATTACGTGGGGAGACGAGAGACGAAAGACGCAACCGAACTGCACAGGACATGGGAAACGAGGACTATTTAAACACATGAGGGAGGGGAACCCCAGGTGAACACAATAGGTAATCAAGACCTGACGAGACGCCAGACATTCCCCCAGACGTGACAGTGACAAGCTTTGGTCAAAATCCCATCAGGATGAAGCCCAATAGCAG